TTTTTTAGTACAAAACTATGCAAAAAATAATCTAACATTTTACCTTCCTTTCAAAATTATAGTTTTTTAAATTTTGGCAAAAAAATTGAGAACAGTTAGGGTTGTAGTCGATAAACCGAGCGGAAATATTCAGCAGTGCTAACGTCGATACCGAACTCACTTTGTTGCGGAACAATTAGTGGCTGTAGAGAAAACACTCGTAGAAAAAAAACTGTCAGCGTAAACAGTGTGTGATTATTTTTTGGCTCGCAACAAACGTAAACGTTTAAACTTTTTTCTCAAGCCGCTGTTTTCACAACTAAAAAAAACTTGGCTAATTTTTGTCTGTGGTAACTTTTACAGTAACTTGTTAAAGCTAAGACTGCGCCTAGTAACCAAGTTGTGTTCTTAACTGAGGACGGTTATTTGATATATTGCTGAATTAAATGGTGATAATTAAGTATTTGTGTTATATTATATAATAGCACAGTAGCCTAATATTCCATCATCAATATTATTGAAAAACCTATGTATGTTCTTGGGGTGTAAACAGTCGTAACTGCTATGCAAGTTATCTTGGTACCTATTTTTATAGTTTACTACGGATTGCTTTATCTCTAGCATATATGTCACACGCACTCGACGGTACCCAGGACGACAGACTAAGCGATCTTAAGAAGCAAGGATTAGTCCGGCCAACCAACTAAATACCTCCTACCCCCCGGGGATCAAGCGGAGCATTTTTAGGGATTAGTGAAAGCACAAAAGCTCTATTCCTTATCCGTTTAACTTTGATGGAACTCTTCGTCTACTAGCATATCCAATTACTCTTGTTTTTGTAGGATAGAGCATTGGAAGCTTATTGGTAAATTTATACAAAAAGTGTTGTACAGTTGAAACCAAAAAATCCAGATTTATTTAAACAGTTCAGAATTATAATTTTAAGGGTAACTCTTGGATAAACTAGCGTAAAAAGGATACACTTTCGCGATCTTTCCAATGACCTAGTGTCACGACTTTCTCATAGTCGAGGTAAGCAGAGAACATGCTTAAGAGTCTTGAGATAGTGGAAAAAGTTATATTTTCGTTATTAAGGGCGATTTTTAAAACGACATCGTTCACGCATTAAAAGTGGGTATCGGACCCCGTATACTTGTTGACAGACAACTTGTTGCACGATCCGTGCAAACGAAAATACGGAACCATATGTATAACGCGACTATCTTTACTATTATAGCTATACGACAGTTAGCATACGAAATTTCAACGATTCTTTCACGAAGTGATGATAACTTGTACTTAAAATATTACTATAACACATAAGTAACTTAGGTAACGTTACGTTTTAGCCGGCCTTCGTTTACTTGTCCAGGAAGTCCAACTCCCATCAACGTATGATGATGCAAGCTTCAGGACTGTGTACGCGTAAATTCATTAACATCAACATGGTGAACCTTCCACTGCAAACAGATACTGAAAAATACGGCACTGACCAAATTGCAGGAGCTATATCTGTTCGACGGATTCGTATTATAGATGTTTTGTCGTTACTATTTACGCGGACTATACATATATGTCATCTTTTATGGCCGCTTCTCTTCTGCGTAAGGCTATAGTATTTTCTTACTCTCACGCCTTGTTCACTTGATATATATATAGTAACCAGCCAAACCACTGATTCGTATCTAACGTCGCCATATCTCCGCACTCCGTGTTTACTTGATCCTTAAGGGTAGTCGCCTTTTGTTTCTAGCCAGCACGACGAAAAAGCCGGTCTTCTCGCTATGGCTCTGGCTAGCTGCAGAGGTCTGGTAATTCCATCTACGTCGACCCGATTAAACGCATTACTTGCAAAAAGCCATTAACAACCGGTGGCAGCAAAGTGGAAAAGTCCTGGTTGCTGAATAAGGGCGGCGGAACTGCATGCGGTAGCTGGACTAGAGTCCGCGGAACCTTCAAAGTTTATTTTCGAGCCTTTGCTGCCGTCAACCTGGGCTATCATACTGAATTAGTGGTAATAGATAAAAGATGCACGAATATAATGTATACACGGAAGCTCGCAGTTGGAATCGAGTAGTCGGGGAGGCTAGTATTAGTTCACGCCGACGTTCTCATTGGTTACGGCGCGAACTGGATACTCATTTTGCTCTGAGAGACAGACTACGTTGCGTCTACAACCCCGAAGCGCTTGCTGGACTACGTCCTCATTTGTGCCCCCTTCAGCAATGCGGGTCAGGGAGAAGTTGTCGCTCTTCCGGTCGTTTCGTGCCAGTTTTACTTCAAATCCTGAAAGAGGTAGGTACCAACAAAGACCACTCCAAGCTACAGCGTTGTGGATTCAGTACGTGGTTTTAGCTGGATATTTTTCAGTCGTGCAGATGGGGAAAGGGAGAGCAGCACGGCGCTATTCTATGCAAGATGAAAGGACTTGGGAAAAGCGTTGGGAAAGAACTTTCGGCCTTTGCCTCAAGTGTACACATTTGTTACTCCTCAGAACGTACACATACACACAGACATACTCTCAGTATTCACAGACATACGCTTATTTCTCGTTCCTCAACCCGAACTTCTTGTTAATCCAAAAGCCCTTTCACAATCCTCGACGCCTTTTCCTCCCAACCGTCAAAGCTGGACTGTTTTTTTCTTGGCAAGTCCAGCACCTTCCTGGTTCTTTATGAGCATTGCAGCTCTGTGACTAAGCGAAGAACCTTCACTCTCTTTACCTTATCACAAGATGAACGTAGACGCAATTAGTGCAAGTCCTTTGATGCTCACTGTTACGGTTTCTTTGCATTTGTGTTCGCCCCTCGAGACGCAATGTGTCCTTAAATGAACAATCAGTTGAACTATGGGTCCCTTTAGGATAATAATAGAGACATTGAATATGCTCAAAAAGTTAACCTACCGAAGCTGGTAGTTTCACCGATTATGATTTTACACAAAATCTGGAAGAATTTCTCCTCTACCATTATTGGGCTTAAAACCAATGTATATCAATAATGTGACGATAGAGCACGCTTAAATATAAAGCGGCGCATTTTTGACTAAGTCACTTTCACATACTGATAAGAAACCAGGGTGGCTAAGCAATCAGCGGGAGCAGTAAACACGTTATCTTTTCCCACGAAGAAAAGCCAACAATTATATGATCATCATTTAGTCTAAATAAAGGCCGGCTAGAAGATGATTCCTCTAAACAAAGTCTTTAACATTAGCGACCCCTACAGAAAGTTAGTTATAAGCCGGACGCACTAGATTCTAATGGGTCTGAATGTTCCTTCGTGACACAATCTACAATTTGACGCTTGTTGTTTCACAATGAAGTTGTCAGCATGAAGTACGGTTGTTTCTCATAGATGTTCATTGATTTTACTTAACTATTCAGCTTTGATCCGTTTCTACAATAAATTGATAAGTGTATTTTATAATCCGCTGCCTACTCCACGACGCGCCGTCGACATCAATTGAACTTCAATTCTATCTACGTCAAGGATACCGATAAAGCTTAAATCCGTTTTTTTTTTCTTTCTTATATGCATAATAATCCCTCTAGCTGCAACTTACGGTTTTTCTCTTTTCCTTGGTTCGTTCGTATAACAGCGATTTCGAATTTATTCAAGCAGCAATAACGTGTGTTCGAAATTAAGGGTCACGCACCACAGCCAGCAAGGTAAGTATTCTATTCTCTGAAATTACTAAGCTTAATATATGAAGAAGTGTTTTAGCTTAAGTATCAATAATAAGGCCAGGTTTCAGTATTGTTAACACGCAAAAAGGCATAGTATCGTCTAGAATTGCTTCACTAGGAATCATGATACGGCCTGCATTTTTATCAATTTGTAAATTCGTCATAATTACCCGCTCCCAAGGTAAAACGGGACAGTCACTTGTGAGCAGTTTTTATAATGCTTCTACATTTAATTATCACCATTTAGCATAGAGAGCAGTAGAGAGCACATATTTAAGATCATCGTTGCCATTGAGTATTCACTAGCGTGCTAGAAGTTACGTACATATCTGATTATGGATAATTTTGTAGTCGTAAACAATCGGCCATAATGTTCTACGGCAATCATAGACTAACAATGCGTGTCACACAGCAGGAATAAGCTGTGTTTTTTGTGCATAGAGAAACATTGTTTCTACACGAGGCTCCTTTTTTTACGATGATCGCTAGCTTCCAACCATAGAGAGACCGGCTGCGACAAACAGCCATTACTAATTTCGTTCATGACAGACCGCTTTGAATCTATGTGGGCCTTTTCAACGAATTCGCTTCTAATATTGTGTACAATATGCTATCCATCAGCCTACGTCGAACGTAATATTTCCATGAGTATATACACTTTTCGACGCAGCCCGTCAATGAAAGTAGACGATATTGAAATAGATTTCGTTTGCTTTACCCGTTTCCGAAACGAGTCCTAGCACATTTGCTAGTTTCGATGAAAATTTTAGCTTTGAGCTGGCGTTTGTATCTGCAAACGATATATCTACGATTTGTAATCTACACAATTTTGATTCGAAGGAAATTTAAGTTATTTAAGTTTACTTCATCATAAATACACGTGAAGAAGAATAAGGTTACTAACAATCATGCAACTAACTATATATGTTGGTTTTGTGATTTAGACACGTTCAGTCACTTCTAACCATCTCACCAATATATTGTTAGTCCGTATAGAATCTTGGGTGGGCAGCATCAGTATTATTTCTACTTTTTATCGCAGCCGAGATGCGAGCAGATGCGGAGATTAAAAATCGACATTTCGCGCTTTCGTCGTTTGCGATCGCAACGTGTAGCGGGTACAGTCTTATTTTTTTTACACGTTTCGTCAAGTGACTTTTTTCATGTTACAAGAAACTTATGGTCTACTGTGGCCTTATTGCCGAACGAAAATATTTGATCTGTAAGCTACCAGACCATTTTTTCAGTGTCGTACCTATCATTCCTAAATCATTTCAGTAGGCTTGTCCGACACCTTGACCTGGTCAGCACAAATCAGTCGCTTCGTACTCACCATGATTGCGTATTTAACAGAAACGCAAACACCAAATGTGTCCACGTTAAATAATCCTTAAGCAATATCCTTATTGTTCGTATACAACGGTGACAATGTATGTGTGATGTATCCAGGTGTAGAAGCTGAAAAAAGAAGTTGGAGCACACACACTAACATATCAACAAAATGTATCCGCACACAAATGTAACAGACGATCGGCCGATTAGCGTTATTGTCTGCTTTCGGTCAATGGCAAATTATCACTGGGAGCACGATGATTTAAGGCGTATGAAACAGAGGCAATAGCTTAGTGTTCACCCTCTACTCCACGGTACAGCAGAATAGCATCTCTATCATGGCACAACGAAAATTCACCTCGATGACTCCAGTTGTAGCACCTTTGCACAGTCGGACTCTTGCTCACGACGAAATCTCATTCCTCAGTGAACCTAGACCGGTTTCTTCCTTCGCCTGTAGTCTGTACCTCATCGCTACGAGAAACAGGCGCACAAACTGCTAAATAACGCCGGGAGGAAGGTTTGCCTTCATTGTATCGTACCAGAACAATAACCTTGTTTTACCACCACTCCAGTAACAGAACTGACTATGGCATCGGATCGAACACTGCAACGATCACCACAGATGCGCACAACAGATAAAACACGACCGAAACGGTTCTCACACTCAGCTTTCTTGTAGATCGCCACAGCAGTTGGTGGAGCCTGGCTGCTGTTACTAGTAGTCGTTTTGTGTTCTCTGTTGGCCGCTGGACAGTATAGATGGTTTCGGAAGAGCGAGCGGCTCGCCGCTTGCAAGCTTTCGCTACCCCGCCAAACCGCTCCGAAGTCCTTCGAGTAGGAAATGATACCCTTCCCTTCATTTAGGGAGGAAGAGAAAGGCCCCTAGGAGAGGGACCCGTTCGGATAAACAACGATAACAGCGCCCCCCAGGCCAAACGCTCTACCGTATACGGGCGGGTGCCGACGGACTGCAATGGCTAAACGCGAAAAACGGAATGCTTGTAGACCCGCTAGTTCGCCTGCAAGCAAAGCTCCTGGGTCTAATGTCGACACAGAGTTGAGTTTACTAGATAGATAAACACAGACAAACAAACAGACAGACAGACGCTTAGATCCATAGTTAGATACATAGATACGCGCACATGCACATACATGGCAGGCGGCTCACTTGGAAGCATCTGGATGTTTTAAGCAGCTTCAGCCTGATCTGGAGGACAAGGTGCAACGTCCAAAACGAGAGGTATTATCGAAGGGCGCAAAGCGTCAAGGTAATAGATATAAGAGAATCCTTCTATGACGCGCTGATCGCGCAAGCTGGTGAAACTGATCAACTTATAGAATGTTGGCTGTTTGTCGACTGTCGGCTTGTTATTACAAGCAGTTATGATGTGCTACATCTTAATCAAAGCACAGGATCGTCACAGAACAGCCTAAATACGGCAAATAAAACTGTAAAGCGCGCATTCGTAATTGCTGACACAGTGATCTCAGCTGTAGGAACACTTTTCGCGCACAGTAGAAGAGGATAAAGCGGTAAATATTATTAAGCGAAAGAAGAAAAATGATGACGATGCTTATAGTGACAACAGTGATGAGGACTTAACAGGCGAATGAAGCTCGTGAGTCATTCCCAAGTGAGTATTCTATTGCTGGATATAGATAGACTCTATTAAATAAGCTGGCTGCTCTATGACTCCGCCGATTTTATTACTAACGCTGTAATGGGGAGATCTGGGAGCTCTGAGTGGTTCCGTTGACCTCGCTCAATGCCTAATCTTAGTGACTCACGAGGATAACCCAGCGTAAACGTCGCCATGGTCGCTGGGATACGTTGGGTCACAAGAGAGGTGAAACTGCTATAACAACAACTCTATACGATAGCCGAGTCATAGAGCAAACGACGGCAAGTCGGCGTAGGTGGCCGCCATAGGAAGCGGTAATATTTTACAGCTGCAAAATGGCTATTTATTTACACTCATCTTTTCCGGGAGCTAATAACCACTTCTGAGCTACTTCCTGATCTAGGCACTGTAATCACATTCATAAAAGAAAAGAAAACATTCCGATTATAAATTTGCCGTATCGTTTATAACAATCGCAATTCACTGAACTCCATTGCGTCTTGCACTCACAAAAAAATAAGGTATGAACCGTGAGACAACTCAGATCTACTCTCGTATTATTTCTACAATTAACAAATCTATACGATTTGATCACTCATTCGTTATCTCCTATATTGTTTAATGTCATTAGTATAAGGTAAGGAAAAGTACAACAATAGAACGACAAACTGAAGTGCCACTCATTCGAACCTTATGATTAAGCTTATATAACGACAAAGCAAGTTACAAAGGGGTCGGGAATGGCTTGTGCTCATTTACGTTGTTCTGGGTTGTTTTCTAAATTCGATAGCGCAGCGGATGTCGTCGTAAATCTTGAAACCTTTTGTGAGACCATGCTTTGTCGTTAGCAAGTCTTTTGTCTCGCTGAAATAAACGCTGAAAAATACTCGTTAAGCTTAATAATCATAGTCAGGTTGAGCCGCTCTGACCTTATTATCTTCTGAACGACTTTGTAAAGAAGACACTCCTTGAACCCCCGACTTTGAAAAGAAGAAGGATACGTTTGGGAAAAGCAATATTTTTTTATTAATATTGAGAGACTTGTGTCAATGTTGGTGTTCGGGCTTGTAGACCTCGTCCTAAAGTATTATAATGTATACCAAGTTAATGGCCATACTATAAAAACAACGTACAGAACATACAGGCAGCGGGATTGTCGTATTGAGGACAGAAAAGCTGGTGAGCTAATAATGGCCTTCCTGTTCAGCTGAAATGCAAGGCTAAGCGTCGATTAAATACACCCAGACCAGTGGAGGAAGTCTTCCTAGTCAACCGCACCTCGTACCATAGCGAAAGCAAACGAAACCAGTAAATAGAACAAAACATCGGTCGATCAATTTCAAACTTCCCGGTTCCTTTGCAGATTCGGGCTTGCCTGCCGAGCTTTCAGTTTTGAACGTCGGTGCGTACCCTAGGCATAATCTTAAGGCTATGGGGCGTTGAGCTATTTTTGCCATACCTGACAAAACCCTCAATTAGTTCATGACGTAGCCATGATCGGTGAGGTGGAACATGTTTTAATTTCACTTGAATCATTATCAAGCCTCGTGCAAGTAATTGCCTGCCTATTACCGCCGACATCATTACCTGATAGCGCAACAGTATCGTTTGCCTAATAAAGTGAGGTAAGTGTTGTGATATTTGCACGTGTTACTCATTGATTTATAATTCGAGTAACCTTAAATCGTATTGTAGAGCCTGTTTTGTTACTGGGCAGAGCCGTATAATTCAGTCAACGATGAAATAATGCACTTCGGCTGATATTAAGCCTCTCGCCTTAGGCATAAAGAGATCTTCTACCAGTGCCTAACGTCGTAGTCAATATCACGGATGGATATATATGCCTTAAATGAATAATAGCGCTGTGATAGGCCCATTTTTTATCTCATTTTCAAACGCGGAATGCTCTTTCTGCCGTGACGCCAACTCGAACTTCTAAGCAGTTTACGATACGAGAATGTACAGGAAGTGTGTTAAAGGTAAACGAGATTGTCATTTTCTGGGAACTAAGGCAATTCTGCAGCTAGCCAGTAATTGTAGATGCATCTAAAAGGCACAACACTGGATTTGTGCAGAATGATTTATAGAGAATTTCAATTCTCCGTACCTAATAATGTATATAACTTTTACATGTTCTATTACGCAATCCTGTGGTCGTATGCAATGACCGCTGACGGACCGACAAACAGTAATACTTTAACCAATAGATATAAACTGTGAAAGTCTCTGTTCGACTTAATTGATTATACAAGCAACGCATGTCCGTTGCTGCAAGTAACCTTCACCGTTTAAGACGCTTCGTATTGTTCGAGTAAAATTCGTTACTAAATTAACAAGCAGGCATTACCGACACACCAAGTGGCTACTTGCTGGCCCCTAACCGCTTTCCTTTGCTTCATAAAAAGGTTTGCTGCGCCTTGCTTGTTCCTAGCAGATGCTGGGCCAACTAGATCATCGTGTATGCAAGCCTTTGTCCACATTAAAGGTCCATTGTAGACTGTTTGCTTGTTATTCCCTTCGTGGACGAATATGGGTGCCAGTGAATGCGCTTACTGACTTTTTCGATTTGTCCAAGCGCGTCAAGTTCAGTCGGTTTCTCCCAGAGAATACTACGGCACACAACAAGTTAAGTTGACCCGGACTCCGCCTCTGAGGGACGTGGGTCTGGAGCCTGACGCAAAGCTGGGAGCAATAAACGAGGAGAGTGGCCCAGGGGACTGTAGACGGATAGGTCTCACCCTAGAAGTATAAGTAATAGACCGACCTAACCAAGCAACAGCAGTAGTTTTCTAGCCTTTTCAGCTACTTGGGCTTCACAACCTCATTTACCGCTTATCATTAGTAAAGAGAAACAAAATTCACCCGAGACCTGGGTAATTATTTGCTCCCTTCTTAGATATTTTCAAGCCATCACCGTTCGATTGGTATTTTTTGGTCGAAGATCTTCCGCCGCACTAATGAATACGCAATTTGTAACATTTGTCTCACTTAAACCGTAATAGTAACTTTGGTGTTGTACATTGACCAAGTACATAACTTTTTTTTTATCATAACATGATTTTAGAGCTATGAATATAATACTAGGCAGTCGAAAAAAGTATTATATTCATAGCTCTTTTTAAAAAATTAGATGATTTTAAAATTACTTAATTTGAATCGGCATCGGTATTATTTGAAAGGTGAAATATGACAAGAGTACATGTACATAAACTGCTAGAATATCTTCGTTCAAACTTAAGACAGAGCGCCTCAAAGATGAGTAAAATTCACCCACTATATTTTGTAACTTATGCTGTTTTCGCATTATCGGAAAAAACGGCCAAAAGATAACTTTATCGTCTTTGGTTCGATGTGAAACATGTTCCATGTGGTGGTTAGTCATCTTACGGAAGCCTTGGTGTGAGTGTCGCCAAAGTCAAGCAGGCGTAAATAGCCATATAGTATCGTTAAGGAATTAAATTTGAAGAAAACCAGCTAAACACGAATTGATACAAAAGTATTAACTTGTTAACTTACAAAAGTTTGCAAAAACGCAACAAAATCGAGCCGTCTTTAAGGCGGCTGATACTAGATGGCTGAAAAAAATGATAATAATAATTTACGACAATAATGCACAAATAAGAAAAACATTTGCTTTACTATATGTAGCAAAGCCCGACCTGACGCCGGAGGAACTAGCGAACGTCGAGGAAAAGACGTCGTATTCCACCATGACAATGCCAGGCCACATAGGTTTTTAGTTACCCAAGAGAAAGTGACATTGTATCAATGGGAAATGCAGCCGCCGTACAGTATGAGCTTTGCTATCCGTTTCAATCTTAGTAAACTTCCGTTAATGGTATTATTTGAATTTCGATAAGAGAATGCAGTAAACCCTTGACCGCCCAGAAACTACAGATGTAAAAATGTACATTGGTTGGCAAATCGAGAAAAATAAAAAATAGTCAACCTTAATTTTCAAATATTAAAAAAAAATCAGTGCTAATCGGGGCAAGTGATCTAACAATTAGGTTTTTGAGAAAGACTACGATAAAGTGTATTTCCTATATCAAAGAAAGGCTTTACTGACCTTCCCAAACAAATAATGAACATTTATTCGTTCCCTGCAAATTATTATTAAGGTTAATAATGTTAAAGTTTTGATATTAAGCGCTGATTTCTAATGCTATGAGGC